CTCTGAACATGCTTGTGCTTGACCTGTAGACAGCAATATCCATCCCTCCTTCCCCCCTGCCCCAAAATCACCCCATCACAGAGGCCATCCCCGACCTCTGTGGTCAGCCCTTCCTTCCATCTCTCCCCGTCTCGTTTTCTCCATAGCACTCGGTGCTATCCATACCATACCGTGTGTGTGCGTGCTTGTGCATGCCGTGTGCATGTTCATGTTCACATGTACGTGTGGAAGCCAGAAGTTGATGTCTGCGTCCTCAGTCATTTCCCACCTATTCTTTGAAACAGGATCTTTCCCTGGGGATTGGCTCACCGACCGGCCATTGAGTTCTGGGGTTCAGCTCGTCTCTGCCTTCCCAGTGTTGAGGTCACACACTCATTCTGCTGTGCCAGCTTTTACATGGGTGCTGAGGATTTGAACCCAGACCCCCATGCTTGCACAGCAAACAGTTTGCCATGGAGTCACCTCCCCAGCCCCACCATCCATATTCTCATCTGCATCTTGGCTAAATTGTGCAGTGACAGCGGGTGACGGCTCCTTTTTCTCATTTTCCAAGCTGCAGCTTCCTGAACGGGGTTACGGTGCAGGGCTGCTCAGTAAACATTTGTGGACTGCGGAAGAGAATGAGGGAGGGAGAAAGGAGAAGCCATCCTTTCAAGGAGCAGGGAGGCGTCCATCGTGACCCCTATTAGACACAGCTTTCTCAGAACCAGCCCTCCCCAAATCTCACATTCTCTGTAGCTCCATCCCATCTGAGGTAGGCAGGTCGTCTTCACAGTGACAACCACAGCCTGGTACAAGTCTAGACAAATGCACTTTCCTCGTCTCCTTCCTTCACACCCATCTGCCCGAGTTGTTCTTCCAGAGACTGTCCGAAGATCACAGCTCCAGCCGCTGCCACCTGTTCCGAGCAGGAGTCTCCCAGGTGGTAACAGTGGTGGTTCTGGGTGGGGATGGAGGGGCTGGGGTGGAAGGGGTCGTGATGGTGAAGACAGTCGTGCTGTGGAGTGACAATGAGAGGTGACGGCGCTAGAAGTGGTGAAGTGGGGTGTGGGTGGACATACGATGGCCAAGATAACAGTTTGATGGAGGTGACAGTGGTGGGGGTGGTGGAGATGGTAGAGGGTCATGGTGATGACAGAAATGACAGTGGTGGTGGTGATGGTGGTAGGGGGAGTAGATTGTGGGGGTGATGGTGGTGGTGAGTGATGGAGATGATCATAGTGATGGATGATGGTGGAGAGGTGGAAATGGTGTTGCTGCTGCTGATGGTGGTGGGGATGCCGGGGGTGGTGGTGATGGTGTGAAAGGTGGTGTAGATGGTGGGGTGATGGATGCTGGCATATGGCAGTGTTACGTGTACCTCAGGATGTTAAGCAGCACCTGTGACCTCTTCCTGCAGATGCAGGGCGCTCCCATAGTTGTTACAAGCAAAACATTTCCAAACACTGCCAAATGTCCCCGGGCAGAGCTGCACACTTACACTAAATACATATGAATTCTTGTGTTTGATTCAAGGCTTGCATGGTGACCCTGCATGTTATCTGGAGATTGTTTTGAGGTGGTCAAGTTGTCCTCTGTCCTTTATCAAGACTGCTGGGTTAGAATGAAGCCCAAGCGTCTCCACGGCAACATCACTCGGTTCCCTCATCTTCCTTCAGCCTTCTTAGCACATCCCCCATTTCTTTCATCATCCCATTTCCCACTTCAGGGCTGGGGGTGGGGTGTGCTCCCCCTAACTAGACACAGCTCAGCAGCTGCGAGGCTGGCTCTGCAGTACAGCCAGCTACCCACACCCTGCCTCAGCTAGCTGTAGGTTCCCCCGAAGGACCCATCTCCTTCCAGGGGTCTCATCTGCCGCCCACAAGCCCCTGCTTTCTTCTCTCCAATTAAGAGGCCTCCTGGCAGCAGCCAGAGGCAGGAAAACAAGGCAGTTAGTCACTTAGCTTCCGTTATCAACCTGGATCATGTGGCTGGCTCTTTTAATGGCTGTTGTCATGACAACGGGAAGCCAGTCTCTGCTTGCTTTGGGAACCAAAACAAAATTAAGGGGTGGTGGCAGGGAGGGGAAGGCGAGCCAGGAAGGAGTCAGCTCAGAGTTGGTGGGCTTTAGCTGGAGAAGAAGGCATCCCTCCGACATCAATCTAACCTCCGAGAAGCGCAGGTGAACACGGAGGATGCTTACACATAGTTTATTCTGCCCACTGAGTCATTTTCATCCCTATTATGACAAAATGGTCACCCAGATACCCGCAAAGATAAAGAGAGATGCTTCTGGGAGACTGCGATTGGCAAGCCACTGCAACGCCCCATCCTGCAAGTTTGCAGATGTTTCTGCTCAGTGCTGGTGCCTGTGCTTTGGTCTGGCTATGTCAAGACCCCACACACCTTCTGCAATCCTCTTTTTCATTTCACTGCTGGGCCTTCCAGGGTCTGTCTCCTCTGGAAGAATGTTTCCCCAGGAGGCCAGGGAACCCTTGTCCTGGTCACTTCAGTGCCTATAGACCCTCTCTGTAGCGGATGAATCCAGGACTCCACTCCAGCTTTGGTTGAACTCCAGGCTCCTTCCTGACCCACATGATGGGTATTGGGTCCTGACAGCTCCCCAGGCTGGTTCTGGACAGAAGTCCTAGCCCCATAGGTTCTGTGGGTGGTTGGAAGATGGCACAGTTCGGAGCAGGTTTATACAGCTGTCTGGCTATCTAGGAGAGTCCTCTGTCACCTCTTCCGTGAGGAAGAGGGAGGTTGTGGCACGTAGGGGTGTGGCTAGTGAACCCAGACGAGTACAGCAGAGAAGGCCTGCTGATCAGAGTTGTGGCAAATTTCTTCCTATCCCTCTAAAGCTGGGAGGTGGGCAAAAGAAGCTGTAGACGGAGGGGTAAGATTGGGGGGCCAACTTGAGAGCTCCAAGATGGCATCCTTCCTCCTGCTGCCCTGCACAGAGTCTGTCCCCTTCAAACGGCCAGCTGTGTCCAGTAGTGTAATGGGAATTGTGTCACCCTTTTGTCGCCTCAAGGCTCAGATTTTACCGAGACCTAGATGGAGAGTGTACTCCTTGGCTGTTAGTCTGGGTAAACTCTGGTCCCTGTCGGCTGGGTGTTGTTAGAACCCTACTGCGAGCCCCAGTTCTGTCGCTGCCATTTTCATAAGGTCGCTATGTCTTGTGGGCACAGCACGGAAAAGCCCCCAACAGAAGCTCAGATCCCCACGTGGCAGTCCCTGGAGTGACTGTCCTCCGTAAATAAGATTTAGAAACTGGGATGTTTACGGCTGAATCCTGCTCAATAATCTGCTGATTCCAGCGACTGTCTTGCCTATCTCAGGGCTCGAGAGCTTACTCCGCTCAGGCCCAAGTCAAGAAGGCAGCTCCCTCCAAACCCAGTGGTCTCCAGGATCGAGGAATCAAACAGATGCGTGTCACAGGACGGGGGCAGCACCCCACAGCCTTTCTAGGAGCACAGCTAGATCGGTAAGGACCAGACTTGGGGCATGGGGCCCCATGTGTTCCTCAGCAGAGGGGGAAATGAAATCCTAGTGAGGGGAGGTGTGACTCATGGGTGACTTTGAGGGAGCTGGTGGCACAGGCTGGAAATTAGGGTGTCTCCTAATTTCCCAGAGGCCTCACTCACCCTCTCTTCTAGTCACACCCTCTTTTGTCAATCATTTTGTTAACAATGGTGGGGGGTTCATGCCAGACTAACAGCCAAGGAGTATGCACTCCATCCAGGTCTGGGTAAAACCTGAGCTACAATCTTTCCACTTTTAACCTAAGACCTTTCCTCCAAAGGGCAGGGGTATGAGTTTGTGGGGCTGGGGTCTGAATTGTACGGCGTCTCATGTCTTCAAAGAGAGCTTTACAAAGACTGAGCTAAAAGCTTCTAGGCCTTTCTGAGGGAAAACCCCCTCCCCAATCTATCTATCTTACACATCACCTCATCTGAAAATTCTAGAATCTGCAGCCAGTCCTGGAGCGGGTTCTTTTAGACAAGGAATAAGCTACATTCAGAAGACACACCCACGAGCCCCAAGAGGAAGAAGGTGCCAGCAACAAGTCCCAGCCTCCAGCTGCCCAGGTGGCTGCCACCGGGAAGGGAGGGCCTCCCGGGTGGCACTTGTACGTACACACGCCTGCATCACACAGGTGTACAGACGGGCACAGACACACACCCATGCTCAGGAAGCAAGGGACAGACTCCAGCCTGGCTCATGGATTCACAGGCCAGCAATCTCTTGGGATAAGAACCCCAAGATGAAGAAGAGGCAGTGGGGGAGGGCAGGCTGAAGGAGAGGGTGGAGATAAAATGGGGAGGGCAACACCACACTATACACATACACTCAATCTTACTCATTCACACAAATACACACATGTAGACTCACACTGGTATCTCCAGATAAGTGCACATGTGTTTCCCATACACTCAAGCACATCTACACCTACAGGCCCACAGACATCGAAATGCCACCTCAGCCTTCTAAACCGTCTCTACTCCCAGGGCCCTGGGAGGTCAAGCCTGGGCTCACAGCTGTCGCTTTCCTCCCCGGAGGCAGGCAGCCACTCCTGTTTGATCCCGTGTGCATGGCAGGCACGCAAGAGGGGGACAGCTGCCCTGTGACCCTTAAGAGCTCTTTCAGACAGAGTCCCTGGCACCTAGAGGTGGCTCTAAGAACTGAGCATCTGGGGTGGAGCAGGGGGTTAGCTTTATGATTCATAATTGAACCTCTCCCCTGCCCCAAACCTGGGGACATTCTGCATCACTATGGAGGAGCCCCACATCACCTTACCCCACCCCAGGAGTGAGAACCACCCACCTGCTCCTCCACAAGAAACGGTCCCACTGTGGTAGACTCCTACCATTCCCACACCTGGAGAGTCTTACACCCCTAAACACCCAGGACCCCTCACCCCTGAACCCCTCTCCGGCCCCGGCCCTGGTCAGCCATGCACAGTCACTGCCAGCCTGGTGACCACGGTGACCCTGTCGCCCCGGGGTGGCTGCCCCTACCTCCTTCTTCACAGTGCGCAGCAGCCTCTGGCGGGTCTCGGCCTCTGCGGGACAAGCAGGGAAGGGTGGTGAGCTGAGCGGAGGCTGAGGGGCCTGGCCGCCCTCCCGCCGCCCGCCCATGCTTACCCGCAGGTACTGAAGCCATGGTTCGTGCTGGTCGGTGCGGGGTGCGCAGGGTCCCCTCTCCGCGTCCTGCTGCAACCGCGAGGGGCGGGGCCGGCGGGAGATGAATGACAGCCCAGGATGTGGACGTCAGAACCCTCCCACTCGCCCCGCCCGCGAGACCTCAGCGCCGCCTCGTGGACAGTATAAAGCACATAGCAGCCTGCAGTCCTCCAAGGCACCATCCTCACAGGCCTCCTCCAGGGCATCAGTATCATCCGGTGCCAAGCTGCCAAGAGTAACATAAGATATGGCACTGTGGTCCATACCCTGTGTCTCCAGTCATACATATTTAAAATGGGGCAAAGCTAACATGGAGACACGTACCTCGTCAGTGGGGAGACTGAGGCAGGGACTCAAAGTCAGGTCTTGCCTCCATAAAACTTGATTCATCCTGTATAAAGTGGATATAAGTTCTAGAATGATCTGATAATCAATCGAGATGTTTTATCTGGAATTCTCAACACAGACCAGAGAAAAGTCTGGTGGCTATAAAGGGTAACTGCTTCTGCTTCATATCTTCCTCCTCCTCCTCTCCGTTTCTTTTATAGACTCTGCTGAGATACACTTTTCTCCCCTGGGGAGGCGAGCCTCATCGGTGCTTCCTCCTCTATATTGGGAACTAGGTTTCGGTCCTTTATGTGTCTACTCCCACACAGAGCTCCCGTAAGCCAGAATCTCCAGTCCTATTAGGACAAAGGCGTGTTCCACCCAGAGCCTTCACCAATTACATCCTAAATCCCCGACTGTGGCCTCCAGAGAGAAATCAGGTCAACAAGTATTCACTGAACACCTCCAACGTGCCAGGTCACAGCGTTGGAGAGTCTGAAGCATGGGCACATTGCTGTGGCACTCGGACAGTAGACCATAAAACACCTGAGTGAGGGATAGTGAGGTGGAAGGTTCTGGAGAGAAGTGGAGTAGACACAGGAGAGGTACCAGTGAGTGAGACTGACACCTGAAACAGGGAAGCTGTGTTTTCTCACTGAACAGAGAGAAAGGAGGAGGCTGGGGATGCCAGGGGAGTAAGAGCCCGGGGGGTAAAGGAACAGGAAGATTAAAGGTCCCTAAAGTTGGGGTGTGCCTGCCTGGAAGACAGCATGAAAGGTGGTCAGAGGCACCGAGTGGGAAAGCAAGACAGACTGTGGTATGGCATGGGCCAAGACCATGCACTGAATCAGCAATAACGCCACCCTCTTCCTCCCATACCCAGCCCCTCCACTCACAAGAGCTAGGGCTTGCAGCCATGGTCCCAGAGCCCCTCATATGTATGCTGGTAGGCTTTCAGTCACAATACTCCGTCACCCTCTCCAGTGAGGTGCGCCTGGTGCCTCCAGGATGCCAGAGAATGGGAAATACGAACTTGACAAAAGATAAGAATAAATTAAGGGTGTACTATGTGCTGAGCTCTGACTGCGTAAGCTCACTGATCCACATACCTCCGCCCTCCATGATCCTTACCCACAAAGAAAACCAAGCCCAAACCTTGGGAGAGTTTTCTTGGGGTCCACAGAGCAAGCAAGCAACAGTGGAAGTCATGGACCATGTGGCTCTCCTCACTAGGGCACGCTAAGTAGAGCTGGGTGACTCGGAGTCGGGAGCTTCAATCTAGAAACATCAAATCAGATGTTTCTCTTTTCCACACCAAGCCCCGCAAAGCTTCTTGGGATAACCCTTGAAAATGCAGGATTTTCCCCTAATATAAATGACTGTCTAGACCCACAGCAGTGGCCTTGGAGGGGACTGGACATTGCCTTAGGTCTGAATCCCAAGCCTTGCACTCTGTCCGACTTAACTATTACTGTGATGAAACACCACGGCCAAGAGCAAGTTGGGGAGGAAAGGGTTAATTAGCTTATACTTCCACATCACACTGTTCATCACTGAAGAAAGTTAGGACAGGAACTCAGACACGGCAGGAACCTGGAGACAGGAGCTGATGCAGAGGCCATGGAGGGTTGCTGCTTACTGGTTTGCTCCTCATGGCTTGTTCAGCCTGCTTTCTTATAGAACCCAGCCAGGACCACCAGCCCAGAGGTGGCACTCATTACCTGTACTGAGCTGGGTCCTTACCCACCAGTCACTAATTAAGAAAATGCACTATAGGGTTGTGTACAGCCCAAAGTGATGGAGATATTTTCTCAGTTGAGGTTCCCTCCTCTCTGGTGTTTGACCCTTATGTCAAGCTTACATAAAATTAGCCAGCACAACTTTCTTCTTGTCAGTTTGACACACAAATGCATCACTGTTAAACACACCACTTTTCCTTTCTTGGTCATCCCCAAGTGCACACATTAATATGAACATCACAACATTAAATATTACAAGTCTTACAAGTTCCACGGTCTTTACAAATGCAAGCATTTAAAATTCAGTCGATTTAAGAACCCAAAGCCTCTTTTAGAGCCTAAAAATCTTTTTAAAAATTCAGGCTTTCAACTGTGAGCTCATATAAAATCAAAAATAAATGAAATTTCTCACTTCAAGAGAGGAGAACCAGGGCACAGTCACAATCTGAAAAAAGGAAAACCAAACTAACTGTGCCAATAATCCACTGCCCAATGTCTGGGGTTAACTCACCATCTTCTGGGCTCCTCCAAAGGACTTGGACACTTCTCCGGCTCCGCCCTCTGCAGTACACAGCTTGTCTTCCAGGCTCTGGCTGGTTCCACTCCTCCATTGCTACTGTTCTTGGTGGCCATCCCAAAACACTGGGTCTCTGCTGCAACTGGGCTGCACTTTCACCCCTGGCCTCTCCTGGGCTCTCTTCAGGGACTCCAGCCCTGCCACACAGTGCCAGGTCTCAGCTGCTCTCCATGACCCCTGCAGGCCTTCAAAGCCAGCACCACTGGGTGACTCTTGCACTACCAAGTTCAGCTGTCAGCACAAGGCACAACCTCGGCTGCCTCTGGACCCCAGCTTCTGTGTGCTGGCCCTGAGGACACACTTCCCAGAAGACTTCACCTCAGTGATGTTGGTCTCTTCTTAATCACAGCTGACTCTTCAGACCCAGCTGACCAGAACTACAGAATCTCAATTCAAAACAACTGCCCTGATAGTCTTGGCTTCCCTCTGACACTCCACAAAACAGGCCGCCATCATCTTCACGATCCTCAACATTCTTCTCTCCCAGGCCCCTACAGAACAGCCCACTGAGTCCTCAACACTCAACATCTTTTCTAGTCCAGCATTCCAAAGTCCTTCCACAGTCCACCCTTCTGTCACAGCAACATCCCACTATGCTGGTACCAACTGTCCTAGTCAGGGTTGGTAAGGAAAAGGTTATGGCTTACACTTCCACATCACTGTTCCTCAGTGGAGGAAGTCAGGGCAGGAACTCAAGCAGGGTAGGGACCTGGAGGCAGGAGCTGATGCAGAGGCCATGGAGGGGTTCTGCTTACTGGCTTGTTCCCTGTGGCTTGCTCCAGACTGCTTTGTTCTGGAAACCTGGACCAGCAGCCCAGGGGTGGATCCACCCACAATGGGCTGGGTCCCCAACCAGCAATTAAGAAAATGTCCTACAGGCTTACCTACGGAGCAATGTTATGGAAGAAATTTCTCAGCTGAGACTCTCTGCTCTCTAAGGACTGAGGCTTGTGTCGTTGACATAACAGTAGCCAGCTCACACTCTCTGTGAAGCTTGAGATCCTTTAGGAAAGCCTCCTCCTAGCCCAGAAACTTCTTCCGGCCCCACAATGCCGTTGGCGACAGACGCCTGTGTCTGCAGCACCTTCTAGAGACGAACGTGAACATTGCATGCAACGCTAACTAAACCAAATACCTAAGAATTAGCTCCTTGTTGCGGTCCCTCACAGGCATGTTCTCCCAAGTTGCAATGCAGTAAGAATGATAACAGCTGCGATTTGCTGATGAGGCCAATGCTGTGCCATGAACGTCACGCATGTTGTCTCATTTAAGCTGCCAATCAACTCCACAGAGGGTCCTCCAGAGAAAGCCTTTAAGATGTATGACAGAGAGTAAGGGAGGCATTCTCAGTGCAGAGGAACCCCGGTTAGCTTGCCTGGCTCCTGGGGTGGGAAATCTAAGGTATACCCAGACAGGAGTAGGTCAGGCATTCCTCGGAGCATGCTGGGTAAGAGGGACAATAGATTTCACAAGGAAGGACAGCTGACCACCTTCCCTAGTGTGGGTGAGCCTTGTGCAGGCAGCTGAGGACCCAAAGAGGAGAAAATGGAAGAGGAAGAGGACCGCCTCTCTGCAATCACTTAGTCAGGGACACTTGAACTTTTTTGGAGTTGGATTTAAATCAGAATTTTGGCTCTTCAAGGATGCCAGCTTGTCAGACAGAGTTGAGCTGAGCCACCAGCCTTCCTGAATCTCCAGGTCTTGGAGATCTGAAGAACTTGGGCATCCCAGCTTCCATCACTGTGTGAGCTGATGTTTACGGCAATCTCTCTTTCTGTACATGTGTGTGCACACATACAGTCTGCCTCTGCAGCTGCAGGTCGCCCTCCTGTGAATTTAACCAACGGTGGGTAGGAAAGAACTGGCCACAGCAGCCTCTGTGCTGAACACGTGTGGGCTGTTTACATGCGATTATTTCTTACTCAGTACTGCCCAGCGTCTCTCACATCCCATTTGCACTGCTTTAAGTATTGGAGATCATGTAGAGAGGTTATAGGAGGATGTGTGCACAGATGCCAGCCATGTGAGGGGCAGGAGCACCTGATGATTTGGTCCATTCTCTATGGATCCCAACGGATGGCCGCATATTTTATGAGTATATATTATATGTGTAGAGTGTGTATACATGCATATAGATTTATATGCACACACACGTGTGCACCTCTTCTGCTCTGTTTCTCTGGAGAAGACAGATTAATACACTTGTCACTCAATATTAATCTCTTTCTCCCTCTTTTTTAAAAAAGTCGAGTTTGTCCTGGTGTTGCCTTCTGTCTTGGACACCTGCTTCAAAGGAGGTATGCCACTTCCCGCCTTAGGTAGGTCCTGATTGGCTTAAGTCAACCACCAGGTCCTGTTTCCTCTGCCAGTAATTGGCCTATTAATTAATTAGTTTACCCTTC